ATGCAATGCATGGTGACAGGTGGGGAACCCCTCAAATTCAACATTTGACCTCCATATATAACAGCTTTTCTCATTTACCTCCTCAGAGTACAACTCAGATCTTCATTACTGTATCATGAAGCTTGCCATCCCAAAACCAGCAGCAGTTACCAACAAATGAAAATTGAGTTTTGAATATATTCTGATTCTTTACATCGTAAGCTTTAAAATGATGGCTCATTACTGCAACTGATTTACTTTTGCCAAAGTTATGAGTAAAAGTATTACAGCTTTGCTGTACTAAAGTATGTACAGTACAGTACTCACATATACATTGTTATTACTCAGTTTAACATACAGCGACGGTAACGCTGGGTTTTGGATGGCATCCCTCATATATTCTATTTATTGTTAATTTAAATATAATTTAAGTATTTTATGCACTGTATTTATGCTGTCTCTTATACACATCTAGATGTGTATAAGAGACAGCTGTTTACATGTTAGTTATATTATTCATAAATCAATTTTTCCTTTTATATTCCTTCTAGCAAAATGTACTGCCATCAGTTTCAGAAGTTTTCTTCGAAAGTCAGAGAAATTCTTTTGCAAGTGAATGTACAGTGGAATGAGTGAGTAGAAGCAGGGACTCGCTGGTTTCAGATGAACCAATTAAAAGCCAGCAAGTTGAGCAGAGTGCCCAGTCCACAAATAACAGCATGAATGATGAGTCTGATCTCAGTAGCGCCCTCTATGATAGTGTCAGGAATGCAGTTGAAGCATTGAATAGTAACAGTAAAGAGGTAAATAGAGCATCTTTTATCTTTTTATGTTTTTTGGGGTGGAGTTGGGGAGAGGGTGGGGTAGGCTGGGGGAGGGGGCTAGTGTACATTTTAAATGGTAATTTGATAGAGCATCCACATAGTTTATAGAGGGTCTAGGGTTCGAATCCTGATGGAGACAATGTTTTTTTTTGAAAACCTTAAATATCACCTATGGCTTGACTGGCAAAGTGTTCCTTCTTACCAAACTGTCATCAACTTCTTTATTGTTTGCTGCGTATTGCGCAATTCCTTGAGAAAACAAATGCTCCAAATTAGAAAATGCAAAGGAGGATACCACAAAAATCCTGATCAGGACAAAGTTAATTTTATCTTTAAAAAACTTTAACTAAGTAACAAATTGCCTAAAATTGTTCTACTACAAAAGTAATATAAACAATACTGTTATGTAGAATAAATTATGGCATAATACTCAAAACTAATATGCAATTATTGGTAAATGATAAATTTTGGTGTTTGTAGGGTACCTTAGCAAGCGTGTGTATTTTTATTTTATGTTATTAATTGTTTTAGGCCCAAGGCCGGAGATATGTCAAACAAAGGCATGATCTTACCCGCAAAGCTTCAACTCCACTCATTATTTAATATTAATGATAGTAATTGTAGAGTTTATTTTGGCCCCATTTGCTGTGAACAATTTATAGTTGCTAAGATTTCATGATTATGAAATGAACGGTGGTGCTGTCCAGCAAGTTGGCTGGTTTCAATTTTGTCTCAGTTTGGCATTGATTTGATGATGCAGTGTTGAAAATTTGCCTTTTAAATGCCCTTCCTTATAAAGTAAGGTTTTCATTATTTTTAATGGGAAAAGCATGGAGACTTTGTTTATTTGCATTATATAGGTCTGTCTGTTAATATTACTATATATGCAAATCCAAAAAAACATACCTGTAGCAATAGTAGTTTTTACTTTGAGATAAAAATCCTCAAAAATTGAAGTCAAAAGATTCATTATCAATTACATGTAGGTCTTTGTTTTCCTCTGTTAAGAATTGCTATGAAGGAGACAATTGAGGCAGATTTTATGCCACCAAATCCTCCTGGTAGCCTTCAACAAGACAGAAGCCCTAGTGGGTCACATGCTTAGTGATGAAACCACGGACACACCCGGTAAGTTGATAATACAGTAATTCACAAATTGCACTACAGCCCGTTGTGGTTGCAATGTGGCCTACACAGTATTCCACTGATAAAACTTTATTGACTTGATAGTTGGTTTCGCACCCAGCCAGGCTGTAGGCAAAACCCCAAAAGTAGATCTTATTTTGAAATGAGCATTAAATGATATTATTTTGAAATTACTATTAATAATTCTTATTTTCATTTTTTTTTTATAATTGTATTATATTAATTTGTTGAATACTGGTTTGTCAGACAAGGCCTGTATCAATAATTGTGTGAGTGCAGGATATGTGGCCTATGTGAAGATTCTCTCCACAGCCATGCAATGCATGGTGACAGGTGGGGAACCCCTCAAATTCAACATTTGACCTCCATATATAACAGCTTTTCTCATTTACCTCCTCAGAGTACAACTCAGATCTTCATTACTGTATCATGAAGCTTGCCATCCCAAAACCAGCATCAGTAACCAACAAATGAAAATTGAGTTTTGAATATATTCTGATTCTTCACATCGTAAGCTTTAAAATGATGGCTCATTACTGAAACTGATTTACTTTTGCCAAAGTTATGAGTAAAAGTATTACAGCTTTGCTGTACTAAAGTATGTACAGTACAGTACTCACATATACATTGTTATTACTCAGTTTAACATACAGCGACGGTAACGCTGGGTTTTGGATGGCATCCCTCATATATTCTATTTATTGTTAATTTAAATATAATTTAAGTATTTTATGCACTGTATTTATGTCTTTCAGGTAATTATTTAATTTATATCTATATAATGTGTATTCCCAACCCATGAAAACAAATTTCATGTACTGTACTTGTATATTTGTCAATAAATGGAATGGAATCTTGGTTCTTAAAGTTTAAGGTTTCAATCCCTTGCTGTGCATTTTGCTTGTGTCCTTGAATAAAGCAGTTTATCTGCACAGTTGGTTTCTTTCCACCAGAAACAACATTCAAGCATGTGGACCCGGGGGAATTAAAAGTGCTTTATATCTAAAATAAAACGAAATTGACAAATATTCTAAACTCATTATTAAAGGCAATGCAGTCATATTGATCAACACTGCACAGGGTTTCCAATCAAAAGAGTATTTTGCATGCAACTTGCATTCCATTAATTGTTTGTTTATATATTGTGTGTTCATAATTTTTATTTTATTCTTCATGGATGATAAACCATGCAAAAAAAAAAAAGTAGTTTTCTTTATATTAAAATACTAAAAATATTATACTGGCAAAACAGAGATAAAGATGCATTTAGCACACTGCACAGTAGGCCTACAAACATTAAACACTTTTCTCTATATTTGGGTCTACTCTAGTTCCAAAGCAGTAGGTAATAGGCCCACCTGACTCTTGACCTTCATCCTGATAGTGAACCTACTCAAACTGAGGTTGAAAGAATTGAGATGTGGGATAAATCTGTGAAACAAAATTACAAGCCAGGAAAACGTGCAAGCAGTGCGTGTAAGTTACCTTGAAGTTCTTCACTCTTGTGTTCATGTTAATGTTAATTTACGAGCTAAACATAATGCATTTAAATGCTATTAAAAATTTAAATATCCTGAACCAATTGTCCTCTCATTTGGCTCTGATACAGCATTGTTTGTATTTGAGACATAGCCTAAAACTGAAAACCCAATCATCATTACAGTGCTTTTTTGGGCTTTTCCTTGTAATCAGGGTCATGTTTATTTTCATTTTGTTGGTTTTTTGTATATCATTTTGATGTATTTTATGACATTACGAATAAATTCAATCAATCATCATCTTCTTTATGATTATTTTCATCATTATCACCATCATTAAATCAGGTTCCAGAGAAAAAAAGCTTGATAATGTTGTACAACTGATTTTTCTAAGACATATCAAAAAAGTATTATCCTTCGGAGTCTGGCTTTAACATACTGGTAATCAGCTTTGTTTAACATCATCATTTTTAATACCAGTAATACCAGTATTATTATTATCATTATTATTTTATATAACATCATATCCCAGCTAGCAAGCGACGTTGACCCGACGTTGGTTGAAGGTCGAATAATTACGTTGGCACAACG